GTTTTTACTCTACTTTTCACTTTTGTACTTTAAAGAACGATACACAAGCAAACAGTTCGTTTTAACCTTTCTGCTCGATCAAGCGAGTGATTGCAAACAACCAATGAACAACCTTGTTCCCAAGTCCCATCGACTAAGTAACCAAGGAGACAATAAACAAATTTATAAAGCGTCATTTGTTTGATATCTCATAAATTGCTTCCCATACGACGAGTTACAATGTCTTTTGAAATCGGAAAGAGGAAGACGGTTGGTATGTTTGTACCATTCTTACATGTGAAAAAGATGGATATAACGTTATGTTTGACAGATGGAGTCGAAAGTTCGATACCGTTCTCGCTCCTGCAGTTGTTCGCCCACGCTCTACGATTGACAGTCGGAAGAGGAAGCCTTGGACTCCTAGCATAAATTTTAACAAGCTCCTACCAGATGATGAGATATCAATCGATGTTGAGGGTTCCAGAAAGCAAGCTTTGGTACGACTAGTGGATCCCTTCCGTGAGCAGCTGACCATTGAATGTGAAAGCGTTTAACTGACTGTCGCTGTCAGTGATGTACTGCCACCGCCCAGATTTACACCCGTGGTCAAACGAAAAAGACCTGCTGCTTCACACGTCATCACAACATCCAAACCAGCGCCAACACCACCACAAGTGCCGATCCCTGTCAGTTCTACAGCTCTGCAGTTCATGGCCATTGTCCTCCCCGATGGTACTGAAATGGGCTGTGGAGATCTCATGAACCTCCAACCAAATGCGGCAGATGTTTTTCTTGTCCTGGAGGTTTATCAAGAAGAGATGAGTGGTGACTTACTCATGAACGCTCAAAAGTGTTAGCTATCAGATGGTGTCGCTGTTTGCAGTTCAGGAATGCGGAGAGGCGCTCGGAAGCTCTAGAAGGAGATTGTACAAATTTTTGCAAGAAAAATCGTCTGGTAAAGAGCCGTGTCTACTACACAGGGCAGATAACAGAGATAAACAATTAAGATAAAAAGCAGACGGCCTGGAAGACAAAGGATCTAGACATGAAAACAATGTTCTGTGATCTTCCGTGTGTTTGAGGTATACCTGGGAAAGCACCTGTACCACACAAGTACCTTGCCCAAAAATTGAATCGTTAAAATGTATCATGCCGGTGCCCCTGCTTCTGTAAAAGATCGCATTTGAAAATCTATGGCTTTGGATGAGGGAAATGTGCATGTTTGGATATGCACTGTTGCTTTTGGCATGGGGATCAATTGTAAAAAAGTAAGACGGGTGATCCATTTTGGCCCATCAAAATCAGTGGAATTGTATGTACAAGAGTGTGGAAGAGCTGGCAGAGATGGCCTCCCTACTTCAAGTGTACTAC